AACACGTGCTGGCCCACCCATGCGCTCATGCATTTCATAGCGGTCCTGCAGGTCTAGCAGCTGCCTGGGGCCTCCTGCAGATCATGAGGGCCCCAAAGGACTAAGCTTTAATGTGGCACAGATTCTCTGAACATTGGTCTTTGTTCTGGGCTTGATGAAGATAAGGCTAGGCTTTTTCCAAGGCAGGACGGATGTAGAGGAGACATTGGGAACCTGGGGGCAGCGTTCCATTTCCAAATAAATTTTACCATGCCACAACCTCCTGTATGTGGATCCCTGGAATGCTTTCCTTGCGACTCCCTGAAAGAACATGATTTCCACCAGCAAGACATTGGTTGATTCTTGTATGTGCCCTGACCAGGGATTAAAACCACAATCTTGGTATATTAAGGCAATGCTCTAATCAACTGAGCTCTCTGGCCCGGGCCTGTAGGGAGGTAGTTTCTATTTTAGATAGGGGTCATGATTTAGATGTTTATGAGGCATTATTTTAATATTATTCCAGAGCAGTCTGAAAGAGGGAGAGACTAGCAGTTATAAGGCTGGTTAAGAAGCCACTTTTTGCAGTTGATTAAAGGACAGGTTTAGGAAATGCCAGGTATATGGAAACAAAAGCATTAAATGTTGACTCTGAAGAATTGTCTGTTGGACTCAGAGGAAGGAAAGAGGAACCAAAGCCAGCACTGAGAGTGTAAGCCTGGGTGACTGGAGGTGAAGTGTAGAGCCCCCCAAAAGAGAGACTTCCAGTTTGGGGGATCCTGGGTCTGAGCCCAAGACAGAGCAGGACTGTAGAACCTGCTAAAGATCCTGCTAGGGATTTTCCAGCTAAAGCATAATGTTCTTCAAAGGAGGAAGCCGAAGACAAACCCGAGGACAAGACTAAGATTTCCTTTTTTTCCTTTTTAACTACGAAAGCAGTCACTGTGTATTAACTGACCAAATTACAAAAATAATAACGGTAGACTCCTCAGTTCATCCTTCTAATAAGCCTGTCGATCTTGGCCCTCCTGGAGAAGATAATTTGCAAGCCGTAAGAAAGTGAAGGGTTTCCAACAGGATGGATCTCATGAACCAGATCCTCCATGCAGATGATGCCATATTTACCACAGGATGGAACA